GACAGAAGATTTATAAGCCCAGGAACCCAGCCTCTGCAACGTCCACCACCACATCTTACTCTAACCTTCAGTCAAAGTTTCTTTTGGCAGGACTGTCTAGACCTGCATCTCTTTATTGAATCCTCTTCATTCTCTGCCTCAGCTTTTTGGACGTTGCCTTATCTAATTTACTGACAACTGGAGGGCCTTAACTACTGATGAATGGGTACTAGAAGTTATTCACGGTGCTAACTGATCAAATTTCAGGCAAATCCTACCCAGAAACACCCTTCCCACTTCCCTTTCAGGGATCACTCTCACAAGGAGATTCTCCGACGGGAATTGGACTCACTTCTCCCCTTGGGAGCCATAGAAAGGGTTCCACCTCAATATCAAATATCAATTACTCCCCTTACTTCCTGATCCCCAAGAAAAATGTGAGGTGGAGGCCAATGATGAACGTTTTCATCTGAAAACTAAAATTCCACATGTTCTCTTTGACATCAGGAATTGCCTCTTCAGAGGAAGGTATGTGGTTCATGGCTCTTGACATGGAAGTCATACTTTCAAATAGACATTCATCCATCCCACAGATTCCTCTTCGGTCAAGACCATTACCAATGCAGAGTCCTCCCCTTTGGACTGGTCAGAGCACCAGGGTCTTTACCCTGTTTTTTCAGTAGTGGCAGCTTTGGTGAGAAGAGAGGGATTTACTGTGTTCCCATACCTTGACAATTGGCTTCTGATGGGCAGCTCCTATGAAGAAATCCAGCAGGCAACCCAATTTCTGTCAGTCTGCTGCCTTGCCTAAGCGTCTACCTCAGCCACAAAAAATCCACATTTACCTCCATGAGGTCCATAAACTTCATAGGTCGATGTTGGACTCAACCACATCAAGAGCTTATCTACCTCTTGAGAGGTTTCAGGCCATGAGTGCTCTCACACACCAAGTCATCATCAGACTCTGCACTTCAATCAGAACTTTCCTTTCCCTCCTTGATGGGCCTCATGCACACACATGATGCCATTTACCAGGCTTTATCTTCATTGCCTACAAGACTGGTGTCCCTCCATGTACTCACCAGAATGGGGCAACATCAACAACAAGGTGATAATTCCGTCCAGGACTCTCTCGTAAGGTGGACAAAGGTGGAGAAAGTTTGGTGGGGATCCCTTTCCTCACTCTGACTCCCAAGGCAACTATCATTACTGATGCCTCCCTCTTAGGTACGGGTGCTCATAAGGGTGATCATATGGTACAGGACATCTGGACCCCTCAGCAGTCCAGAATGCATATCAATATACTAGAACTCAGGGCAGTCCATCGAGCCTGCAATGCCTTTATCCTACTAATCCGATCCAAGCACATCCAAATAATGTCAGACAACATGGTTAGTAGTGATCAGACAACTAACATAATGAACAGCAGTGTAAATGGGGTAGAATCTGAGGATAAAATAGGGAACAAACAAGTTAAGAATTACTTTGACAAGTTAGATGTCTTCAAGTTGTCAGGGCCTGAAGAAATACTTTCTAGAATACTCAAGGAACTGGCTGAAGAGATTTCTGACACACTAGTGATTATCTTTGAGTACTTGTGGAGGACGGGAGAAATCCCAGAGGACTGGAAAAGGGCAAACATACTACCTATTTATAAAAAGGGAAATAAGGACAACCCAGAGAATTATAGACCAGTCAATACCTGGAAAGATAATGGAGCAAATAGTCAATCAATCTGTAAGCACCTAAGCAATAATAAGGTGATAAGTAACAGTCAACATGGATTTGCCAAGAACAAATTGGGTCAAACCAACCTAATATCCTCATTTGACAGGGTAATAAGCCTTGTGGATGGGGGGAAGCAGTAGATGTGATATCTCTCTACTTTAGTAAGGCTTTTGATACTGTCTCACCTGACCTTCTCATAAACAAACTAGGGAAATATAGCCTAGAAGAATCTAACATAAGGTGAGTACACAACTGGTTGGAAAACTATATTCAGAGTAGTTATCAATGGTTCACAGTGAAGCAGGATGGCATATCAAGTGGGGGGGCCTTGCAGTGATCTGTCCTGGGTCCAGTTCTATTCAATATCTTTATAAATGATTTGGATAATGGCATAGAGAGAACCCTTATAAAGTTTGAGGATGATACTCAGCTGAGAGGGATTCCAAGTGCTGTGGAGGTTAGGATTAGTAGAAGTCAGAATGATCTTGACAAAATGGTCTGAAGTAAACAGGATGAAACTTAATAAGGACAAATGCAAAGTACACCACTTGGGAAGGAACAATCAGTTGCACATGTACAAAATGGGAAATCACTGCCTCGGAAGGAGTACTGTGGAAAAGGATCTGGGGATTATAGTGGATCACAAACTACAGATGAGTCAAACATTCTGGAACGTATTTGCAGAAGTGTTAGGAGTGGGCAGCTCCTATGAAGAAATCCAGCGGGCAACCCAATTTCTGATCAGTCTGTGCCTTGCTTAAGTGTCTACCTCAACCACATTCTTTCATTCTACTCAGCACTGATAAGACCTCAACTGGAGTACTGTGTCCAGTTCTGGGCACCACACATCGCTAAAGATGTGGACAAATTGGAGAAAATCCAGAGGAACAGTAACTAAAATGATTAAAGATCTAGAAAACAGGACCTACAAGGAAAGATTGAAAAAACTGGGTTTGTTTAGTTTGTAGAAGAGAAGACTGAGGAGATACATGATAACAGTCTTCAAGTATATAAGAAGTTGTTATAAAGAGGAAGGTGATAATGTGGAACAGTTCTCCTTATACACTGAGGACAGGATAAGAAGCAATGGGCTTAAATTGCAGCAAGGGAGATTTAAGTTAGAAATTAGGAAAAACTTCCTAACTGTCAGGGTAGTCAAGCACTGGAACAAATTACCCAGGGAGGTTGTAGAATCTTGGAATTGGAAGTTTTTGAGAACAGGTTAGACAAACACCTGTGAGGAATGGTCTAGTCTAGATAATATTTAGTCCTCCCTCAGGACAGGGGACTGAACTGGATGACCTACTGAGATCCCTTCCAGTCCTACGTTTCTATGATTATTCTGACTTTAACGGAAAATAAAGCCACTAGCACCTACCAGATCAGATCAGGCCCACATAGAGCATCAGGATCTGCATCTGTAATCTGAATGTATTGGAGACTTTAGAGATGCTTTCAACCTTGATGTACAAAGATCATTCCCCAGCTTTTGCTCCATATTGAGCAAATGGAAGAATCTCTGGTTAAATATTTTTCTGTTTAGCACTGTCATTGTGCTTGGTGCTGTACAAATGCAATGGAAGACACAATCTCTGTCCTTATGAGTCACATGGGGTTCTGATTCTCTATCATATTTTATTGTCTAATGTAAAATAGCAGATTCCATTAATTATGTGAGGAGGAGAGGAAGCGTAAACATAATAAAACTCAGCCATGAATCTGACTCTTTGTTTTTTATATGATGTCTATCACCACCATAAATGATTGTAAATGATACATTTTCTGGTGTTTTTAATTTATGAAAATATCATTGTACAGCTTTAATTGTTACTGAAATTAACAGTTTTAAAGTAATAAAAAAAATAGTATCATATGTTGTTGCATTCTCTTTCTTTTCCAGTTTCATATATTAATTTTCTTTTCCCCTGTCTCCTTTTAAGGCTGCCCTTGGGATAGCAAATCTGATTATTATGGCTATGCAAAAAGAAGGGACACCTGAACAAGAGGCCATCAAAAAGATATGGATGGTTGACTCAAAAGGATTAATAGTTAAGGTAATACAACATTTTTCATTGCTATAAGTGCAGTGCTAAAATTATTCTCATCATTCTGCATCAGCCAGATACAGAAACAGCTTTATGGATATGATGAAGCTATTAACTCTCCTTTCTAATACCTACATACTTAACATTTCTAGGTATAGGTCTGTCACATTCTGATCAGTTCGAAGGTGCAATCCAGACCAGTAAGGGATGTGTTACTGTCTGCCCTGTAACCCTGGGTGTTTCACAGTGCTTTTCTTCTGTAGCTCCCAACCTGGGCCGCTCACAAGCAGCCTACCAGCATGCAGGTCACACCCTAAGTGTTTGTGTGCTAGACAGCCCAGGTTCAGCAGCTCTGACACTAGCAGCGTTTCTACAGCTCCATAGCTCTGTGCTGGCTTCCCCCAGCCTTGGTTACTACTAGCAGAGTGACCCCCCCAACACACTCCCAGCCCTGAATTTTCCCAAAACTGTGCCTTCTGCAATGTCCAGCCCGCTCCTGGACAGTTCAGAGAAGTCATATGGTTAATTTGTTCCTCTAAAGACACAAATACAGATCACAGCTTATTAACTTAACTGGGGTGAATACACCCTTCCCTTTAAACACCGCTCTGAGTTGGTTCATAATAAAATAAAACAAACATGTTAACAATAGGACATAGGTTAAGTGATGCTAAGTAAAAGAAATAAAGGGTTACACGGAAATAAAAGTGATAACATGCTTTTAAAAGTCTAAAAATAAATTTAGCTAGTTACAGGCCTTGTTCTAGATGTGCTACCAGTCATTCTCCTTCCCAGCCATGGCTGACTTTCTCTCAGTCAGGGCCTTCCACAAAGGTAGAGGGTGCTGGTTTCCCTTTTCTTCTTAGGTGAAAGATCTTTGCCTAAGCTGGTTTCTCACCTATATTCGGTTCCATAGACTTCAACACCACTCCACACCTCTCCCTTGCTTGAAGGACCCATCTTTCTCAGCTTGCAGGAACTCTGGCCTCTTGTGTCTGTCTAGTGATGAATGCCAAAGCTGGCTTCTGTCTTTTCTTACATCTTCCAACGGTCAATTAACTTGTGTCAAGAGGCAGGATAACCTCATGCTCGTTTTCCGTTCTTGTGGGCATCCCATCCCCCTGTACAATTTCTATGTAAATGGGGCTTTCATTGTTTCTGATCCCACCATGCTTACTTTACATTGGAGACAGTTAGATAGCTGTGACAGTTCCTCCTGCATGGGTAGACTGTACAGCCTAATATCCAGGAGTATCTATAATTCCTGACGTAGTGTTAGTACATACATTTCACAGTGATATTAATTACCAGTGTCATTAGTTTTCAGAAAAGACCTCATTCTCTATACTTTTATAAAGCAGTAATATTGTATACAATCAGTTGATTCAGTTGCTTAACAGGTGAGGTTCAGCTCCCTGTCTTGATAGAACAGTAAACATTTGATATGGATTCTTCCGAGGTTACCCCTCAAAGTAAAGTTTATTCAAGCTGTGAGGAAGGTGACATGGAGTCTGGTGGCAAAGGAAGCTTCATGCTCTTTCTTCTCCCACTTGTTAGCTAATAGGTTTATTTACCCAATGTGTAAAAATAGATTTTCATTGTCTTTGCCTGACCATCGGGCTGGTAAGAGAATCTAATGTACATTCCTTTGTCTAAGCAGGCCTGTTTACCAACTCCCCATGACATGCCTGGCTTGAACAGATTTTAATAATCATTCCAGCATATGTCCATTATTCTTAATACCCACCACTTACTTACATCACTGAAGGCTATTAATGATCAGTGAGTTATTAGTTTTCAAATTATATCTCCCAAGGCATTTTTCCACGCCATCCTCCACATCATTAATGAAGACATTGAACAAAACCGGCCCCAGGACCAACTCTTGGGGCACTCCACTTGATACCAGCTGCCAACTAGACATGGAGCCACTGATCACTACCTGTTGAGCCCGATGATCTAGCCAGATTTCTATCCACCTTATAGTCCATTCATCCAGTCCATGCTTCTTTAACTTGTTGGCAAGAATACCGTGGGAGACCGTATCAAAAGCTTTGCTAAAGTCAAGGAATAACACATCCACTGCTTTCCCCTCATCCACAGAGCCAGTTATCTCATCATAGAAGGCAATTAGGTTAGTCAGGCATGACTTGCTCTTGGTGAATCCATGCTGACTGTTCCTGATCACTTTCCTCTCTTCGAAGTGCTTCAAAAATTTATTCCTTGAGGACCTGCTCCATGATTTTTCCAGGGACTGAGGTGAGACTGACTGGCCTGTAGTTTCCTGGATCCTCCTTCTTCCCTTTTTTAAACTTCCAGCCATTGGATCATGTTATACCTTTCTCTGATAGACTGAAGAGCCCATTATTAAATATTTGTTCCCTGTGTAGGTACTTATAGACTATAATAATTCACTCCTTCGTCTTCTCTTTCTTGCAATGAATAGATTGTGCTCTTTTAGTCTGTCGTGATAAGCCATGTTTTCTAATCCTTTAATCGTTCTCTTGGCTCGTCTCTGAACCCTCTCCAATTTATCAACATCCTTCTTCAGTTGTGGACACCAGGCCTGGAAACCGTATTCTAGCAGCAGTTGCACTAGAGACAAATACAGAAGTAAAATAATTTCTCTACTTCTACTCAAGATTCCCTTGTTTATGCATCCCAGGATCACAGTAGCTCTTTTGGCCGCAGCGTCACACTGGAAGCTTATGTTCAGCTGATTATACTCCACCACCACTCCAAAATCTTTTTCAGAGTCACTGCTTCCCAGGATAAAGTCCCCCAACATGTAAGTATGGCCAAAGTCTTTGTTTCCAGATATATACATTTACATTTAGATATATTAAAATGCATACTCTTTGCTTGCGCCCAAGCAATCTAGATCGCTCTAAATCAGTGACCCGTCCACTTCATTATTTACCACGCCCTTAATTTTTGTGTCATTTTGTATCAGTGATGATTTCATGTTTTCTTCCAGGTTATTGATAAAGATATTAAATAGCGTAGGGCGAAGAACCAATCTGCCTTACAGAAATCTAAGAATATTATGTCAACACTATTGCCTTTATCAACCAAACATGTAATCATATAAAAAAAAATATCAAGATATCTAACCCCATAGCAAGTTAACCCATCAAAAACAAACATACAGAGGCATTCACCATATTCATAAAAAATACTGATATTTCCTAGTTTGTCAAACTCTCCTTCTTAATAATCATTGTACATATCTATTTATCACATTTATTTTTGTGGTGCTTTATGTATACAGTATATAAGCATCTTATATAAATTAAGCCTCACACCACTGGATTCTCTGGTCTAGATAAGCTGGGTTTGGAACAGGACCAGAGGGGACATGGAGGTAAGTGGCTTTATATTAGCTCTGTGGCTTCTTGATTCTGGGACCAGATGAGTGCCAGTTCTGTCCCTAGTGTAAGCTAGAGCATTCTGAGGGCTACTCTAATTTATTCCTAGCTGCCAGTGGCCTCAAGGAGCCATTCTAGCAATGATTATTAAGAAGAAACTACAGCTTGGAAATGCTCTGACCATGGTCCCTTTTCCCTGGTTACATAAAGCTACTATGCTATTCAGGGATACTACAAAGTGGGAACTCCCAGGTGGCCAGATCCACCATAATAGGTCCAACTATCAGGCCCCAAATTGGGAGCATTTGTATGGCTTCCCTCCTATTTTTAACATCACTCTCAATATGTCAGTTTTACAGTCTGGAGTCCTGTTTTTACAGCTGTTGTCTATGGGGTCTCTAAGGGTTCTCTTCATAAGCCAATTTTGTTTTGTTTATCTGAGCTTCCGCTTGGTTCTGTAATCTGGCAACATGGGGTAAGTTTCCATTTCTATGCCAATGATGATGTAAATTTATTTTAAATTTGATACCAAAAATTCTTTGAATATATTTTCCTTGTCATGCTGTTTGTCAGCATTTGCATGTCTAAAAATTGGTTTTCTACTAAGATTGGGAATACAGAACTGTTTTTGACAGGCTCTCAACATTAGCTTCTGAATTCTCCTATTTCATTTTTCTTACAGTATTTTGTTTGCCATCCAAGATAGTAAAGTGCCTTGGTATTGTACTATGTCTGTAACTTACTATTAATAACCAAATATAATAAGTTTATTTTAAATTTGATACCAAAAATTCTTTGAATATATTTTCCTTGTCATGCTGTTTGTCAGCATTTGCATGTCTAAAAATTGGTTTTCTACTAAGATTGGGAATACAGAACTGTTTTTGACAGGCTCTCAACATTAGCTTCTGAATTCTCCTATTTCATTTTTCTTACAGTATTTTGTTTGCCATCCAAGATAGTAAAGTGCCTTGGTATTGTACTATGTCTGTAACTTACTATTAATAACCAAATATAATAATGGTAATATATATTTATAATTTAAATATCAGTATTTGCTCAGGCTAGTCTTCTGGCATTGTCAAGACCCACATATATGCATATCTGCTTCGGAGAACCTTGCTGTTTTTCATCTGTCTTCCTCATCTGCTGATAAACACAGTCCACGTTGTAATTCACATGTTGGTCTTATAAGTAATAAAGCATTTAGCTCATACACCTCTACCCCAATATAATGCTGTTCTTGGGAGCCAAAAAATCTTACCGCGTTATATCGAACTTGCTTTGATCCGCCGGAGTGCGCAGCCCCGTCGCCCCGGAGCACTACTTTTCCACGTTATATCTGAATTTGTGTTATATTGGGTCGCATTATATCAGGGTAGAGGTGTATTACCTTGTTACTAAGATACTGCATTGGCTTCTAACCAAGCAGCATATTGATTTTCAGGTTGCATTGTTTGCTTTTTTATGATTTGGAGTCAAACTGTCCAACTGGACAGTTACTCGAAAGATGAGTTAAGTAAGGTTAAAACTATAACAAAAAATCAATAAAAGCAACAAAATTCTAAGTTGAGGTGGGCATCTTCCATCAGACCTCACTGTTTTTAGATATTAGTGTGTTGATTCTCAAAATATCAGAAT